CTCTTCATGCTTCCGCTCTTCATACTCTTCATGCTTCCGCTCTTCATGCTCATACTCTTCATGCTTCCGCTCTTCATGCTCATGCTCATGCTCTTCATGCTTCCGCTCTTCATGCTCATGCTCATGCTCTTCATGCTCATGCTCTTCATGCTTCCGCTCAGTTCTCTGCGAACCGTAACGTCATGCCGGTAGATTTCAGATCCACGTAAAGTGGGGCGTTGTTGCGCAAGTACGAGAGGGGCAATCAAKAATAGGATAGAAATGAGCTTCATTTTGGGATTTTTCTGTGTGTTGAGACTTCTTGATTGATTGTTCGAAAAAGATTTTTCTCTTTTTAAATGAGATTRCGAGATTTTGTGGCSGGATGAAACAGCTTTTAGCCGATGTGTGAGCAAATGCATGTGATTTCTCCTTGCACGGGCTGAATCAACGAAGCATTTTAGAAAGCACACKTCCAAAGCATGGCGTTTTTGTTKCATCGAGGAAGAAAACGAGAGRAATTGAGCTGCATTTTTTGGTATCAACCGAGCTTCGGCTKCTATTTTGTCTCTGTGWAAGTGAGCTCAAAGCACGTGGCAACTATTCTTTASGGCATGTGGGAGGTTTGCAAWAGGGCATGTGGAGGTTTGTATGAGTAAGAGAATCTTCGGAGAAAAAATGAGTAGCGACGAGCACACTAGTAAYTATCATAYGAGACACATGSCTTACAGAACTCTTCGCGAGATACGCGACCATCGCACGTGTGTTTTTATAAATCTTGTTTTCTATCCGTTGATTCACCAATGCTGAAAGCATGCAAACAATGGATAGGTTCATTCGTATATCAAATTGTTTCATGTTTGAACATATTACAGTATTTTTATTAAGCTACGCGATGTACCACATGGCGCGAAAAGATCTCAACTTTGTTTTGTCGCCGCACGATCTTTCTTGCAGGGGTCATAATTTAGAGGGGTGCGCGACAGTTTTTTTTTTTCTCGGTGTGTCCGAAATTGGAAAATGTCACCCCAGGATTTTTTGACAACTTCAATTTTACTGCATATCACTGCTAAAAGTGTACCTGAAAGACCCCCTACACAGGAACACTTCCAATCMCTCTCTGATTTTCAAACTTCATATGCACATCTCTCATATAGTTGAGAGTCAAGTAGTAAGTGTTTCTTGGATTTCAATCCTCTCTGCTGTAGCTAGTAGTTTGAAATTTGATGTCATGAAACAGAGCTGCTGTAATTGTAGTAAAAATAGTCTGTCCAGTCCAGTCCAGTCCCAAACCAAAAATAATTTGAACAGTCTGTCCTTCATCCGTTCCACTTACTACTTTTCTAGTTGTAGCTCTACTGGTACCTCCNGTCCAGTCCAGTCCCAAACCAAAAATAATTTGAACAGTCTGTCCTTCATCCGTTCCACTTACTACTTTTCTAGTTGTAGCTCTACTGGTACCTCCTCATGGGAAAAGAATGAGAGTTTTGAACGATTCACGTGTGCCCTTTTTTGGGAAGCTCCATCATCTCAGCAACCAGCAGTCATTGTCTGACAATGTTCAACATATCAAAAGATGCAGAAAAAAGAGTACAATTCATAGTTTTCAGTGTCATTGTCAAGGAATGACTTGCCATGGAGAAGAAGCTTCCCTGAAAGGGGTATCGTATGTAATATTCATTCCTTAAAAAATGAATTTTAGATATGCCTGGTGCTGCTGTTATTTTCACTTCCCTCTTAGAAGGATGGCATGCACACCACRTAAAGCCAGACTGCGCACACACCGCACACAGGAAAAAKGCCAGACTGATAGGGAAAAGGCACAGACTGCATCTGGGATGTATGTATGAATGTACTATCGATACCTTATGRTACTGTACTGTTGCTGCTTGGAAGGATATTGTTTTCCTTTTGTGCTTGCAATGAAGAGGGAGGGGAGTGTAATGCTGAATAAGGTGCTGATTTGTACTTCTGTTGCATGTAATAAGTTCTCAAGGGGCTCTCTTGTGCTTGTGACAAAGAGAGAGGAAACTTGTGCTTCTCAGCACCCTTCATAGTATGAAGGAAACAAAATTTTTGTGAAGTATTTCTCAGCGTGTTTTGTAGGAACAAATTCATTTTCAAATTAAAATGCTAAGGAAAATACTGGTATGATTATGTTATAAGATCAAAATAGAACCAATAACATGTAGACATGAATTAGTAAAARTTACATATCTTAGGATTAAGGTCATGATTGAATACTGATTTGTAATACAGTGCTGATACCTTTAACTTCCACTGCCACCMAAGCAGASGAATTATTAGTACTAGTAAAATGGTATGTTAATTCTGAAGCCCAGTTTTTCGTACTGATCCTAGATAGATCTACTACTATTTGATCACTCTTTTTACCCAAACAGTTCAATTAGCTAACCACGTTGATACAATTATCTAAAGGTTAGTGTGATTGGGAAGCCAAAGGATACTCTAGCGACTTAGAACTAGTCAGCCAAAGTTACAGTACTCATAGTGGGTGGCCRAAAATTGTTAATTCTAGGTGTAATTTTATATCCATTAAACTGGTACGGTATTTTCTGTGATTAAGATTGATAGCGCCATAATACCGACAACTCACCGGAACATACCTAGGAGTTTCCTCTGTTGAATTCTTTGTCCACGACTAGTCTTGTGCTCTAGTAACCGGAAGGAGAACTTCGTTCCTGTCAATAGCGATGGTCCCAGGACCGATCTGGGCCAACAACAAGAGCGCCCCCGAAGTTGAGAGACCCAGAAAAAAATAGTACCGATGAAGATCGTAGATCCTCCAAGGGTCGATCTCGAAGTTACTTTCAGGGAGCGAGCCATTTAAATTTACATCCACTACGCTCGTCATCCACATCTTGTGGCTTAAATCTGCCTCGTCGTCGTCCAAACTGGCTAYCCTCCAATCGCCCGTGGCCTCGTCGATCCAAATGAAACGGAAGAAGGGATGCCGGTAGCAGACGAAAAGAGTGTTGGCAAGTGCGAGCATGAGTGCAACGAAGCGCGAGCGGAGCCCGACAGAGATGAGCAGAATACCGATGACGATGCCCAGTAGAGCAAGGAGCTCGACCACAAAAACTGAGAGGGACGAGAGGTATGTTCCAATGTTACTAGTCTCGTCCAGGGTTATCGCTGAAGACAACACGAGGCCTGCATAGTAGAGGTGCATTGCCGGGAGCATCGTGCGRCCGGCAAGCTGTGTGTATCTGTGGCAGTTGCGAGTATGAGTAYTTGCGGTTTGTGTCGATGATGGGAACAACGCAGAACCATTCCGTTGGTTTGGACACTGTGACACACATGGATAATTGTTATTGGTGGCATGGCTCTGTTCGTCGTGACCACAGAGGTAGACGGTGTGTGCACGTAGCAGGAGCAATCCGCCGAGCACTGACACTGACTCGAAGATGAACTCAAGGTTCGAGACCTGACCAAACAAGACTGGCTGGAGTACTACCCAGGCAATGAGTACCTTCGTCGAAGCATCGGCCAGGATCAGTGCCAAGAGGCAAAGTGAGCCCAGGAACTGGGAGAGGAGACCAATTGCAAGCGCGACTCTGGCGAGAACCGCGGGGGCATTGCTGGTGTGGTTATCGTCCATCATCMACTGAAACAAAAAACAGTTCTCTCCGACCTGATTTGCTAGGTCCGAAAAATTTGAAACGGTGCGAACTGAATCATCGAGAAAGGTAGCGACAAGGAGCAGACGGGCTACAAAAGCGAACCGTGGACCCCACACCTTAAGCAGCATTTTAACGCTGCAGCGCTCGTCAAGCCACGTTGCGACTGGTTGCAAGCAGGGCTGTTGTGGCAAACGTTCCAGTAGAGACGAGATCAATCCTTTGCTCCCCATGCTGTATCTGTTTGCCGTTGACTTGGTGGTGTCTACTGTTTCGAATTTTTCCTCACAGTATTCTTTCTGGACCGCATCGTTACTGCAATCGGAGACCAAGTGCTGCAACTCAACGTCATCTTTTGTAGTAGCAGTGGTATTGTTATTTCTACCGATTTTGGGTAGAGGCATTGTGTTCWAGTTTATTTTCGCTTCTGTATTACTTCTATTTCGTCCCTCGATCAAAGTCGTTTTGTGTCCGTACAGAAAGAATATTTTTCTGGGTGTGTCCTTCGTTTATTTCACACGGTGATGCGATGGTGGCAAAAAGATACAGCACTGTCGTGTACTGTTCCTATCGTTCGCGAAGTATGAAGTACGCCTGCGTACGTACTTGGATACTTGGAATACTTGGAATAAAGAAGTAGTAGTTGTATCTTCGTGTATGCACGTACGGTACTAATGTAGAACAGCGTATTTCTAGTAAGAAAGTAATTTTCATCAGAACACGTTCTTGGCACGGGCAGCCACGATGACACTTTTACTCGTGCTTGGAGCGTGTCAAGCAGTTGCGAGCAGGCGACTCATCTGTGATCCCACAAGTCGTAGGACCTACGGGTTGGAAAAGCAAGTGTGCAGTATCTCGTACTGTATTATTATTTTTTCTAATTCATCTATCTGTATTCGAAATTCGGTATCACATACTCCTACACTACGAGTACGTACCCACAATACTCTTACGAGCACTGTACTTCCGACGAGAACTGAGTCGTATTTTCAACTTTTTCAATTAAAGGAAATAGTAGAAGTTTTTCTTTACATAACGGASTCTGCTATTCTGGTTCAACAAGTATTACAGGTACGTGTATGTTGCGTGATTTGAAATGCTTATGCATCTCATCTCCAATCGATCATGCATTGCGCGTGCCAAGCAGGCAACTAGTTTGTTGATGGCTTTGATCGCATTTCGTTATTTCTGACACCCCCCACTATCATGTGTCATGCTGCCGATCTATCGCAAAAGATATCGTATACCGTGACTATGTTAAAGTGCGTGCAAGTACGTACCATAGTTGAAGAAATATATTCAACACCTACTTTTGCTGGCTTATTCATTTCATAATTTAGTCTCGTCCCATCGATCGACTCTACATTATAATAAACCCAAGTTTGCTAGATTCCTCAACCATGATTTTCAAGACTATCGCGCTCCTCGGACTCATCGGAAGCAACGRTGTTCTGGCCGAGACTCTCCGTGGAGTGGAAGAACCGGAGCATCTCGATCTGGAATTGATCATCGACGGGGAACGCCAGCTGTTTCCACTCCTCCCAGGCGTCAAGTGCCCTCCAAACCACATGTGCCATTCGCGAGCGATCCCCACGAATGGTATTCAGGTGTCGCCGATGATTGGTGCTATGAAAAAGGGTTTCAAGACCCACCTTGCTGCGAGCATGGATTGGCAAGAACTGAGCAACAACCTGAACACCGTTGTTGTCTCTGACAACCGCTGCACCCGTCGTGCCGCCATGGCCCGTGCCGCCGGTCTGGCAGCAGGACTTGCCGCTRGYACTGTTGCAGCTCCAGCTTATGCCGCCGAAACGAAGGAGGTCAAGATGGGTACGGATTCTGGAGGTCTCCAGTTTGTCCCTGCAAAGACTTCCATCTGCAAGGGTGACTCYGTCAAGTGGTGCGTTTTTGCCTGCAGYGTTAAATCTATTGTGATGCSTTTTGCTGTATCGGATCTGATACAGGTGCTATAACATGGTAACATGTGTTCGCCACAAGCTATGGAAACTGATAACGCATCCGGATGTTGATTTGAATTGAATTTTGTTTTGTTTTCGTTTCTTTCGTCCTACTTTAGGATCAACAATAAGGGCGGTCCTCACAACGTCGTMTTCGACGAAGATGCCATTCCGGGTGGCGTCTCGCAGGAAGCCATTTCAATGGACGAACAGCTTGGAGAAGAGGGCGACACCTTTGTCATGAAGTTCGATGTCGCCGGAAGTTACGAGTACTATTGTGAGCCCCATCGCGGTGCGGGTATGAACGGTGCCCTTGTCGTAGCCTAGATGAAGATATCAGTTAGTGCATTATGAAGTGCAACCAGAGATCAGGCGTGCACCGTACATAGACAGGAAATCAGCGACAAGTATAACGATGCCGACAAACTGTACCGTACCGTAGTATTCAAAAACAATATTATATCTCTTCAAATAAAATTATCGAAGTATCCTACTACTTTTTGTTCTCATACGTTTATATCCTACGCCGTAGTTCCAGGAGAGCCCCCGATCGTGCGTTTTTTAATATACTCACGGGATTGGCTGTTGAAAGAGACCATACGCGCCGGCGCTCCGGGAAACTCCAACCAGAGGAACACTTTTTTGTTTTTGGGGCATAGGAAATTGTGTCTTTGGGGGAAGGCCGACGTCAGGATTAATTAACTTTTAACTCGCCGATAATAAATGTTTATTAATCAAGTTAATTAAATTTATTAATTACATTAATTAAATTAATTAATTATGCTACTGGGTTAATTAATTTATTATCTAGCAATATTATATTCCATTGAACTGGCTATAGTGACAGAATATCATTCTCAAAGCACGCGCAGACCTGTCCTCGGTCCCACCAAAGCTCACTCAAAAACGTGGGCCGGTCCTGGTAAGCAATGCTCCCCTGTTAACTTTCTTTTTTGCTCATCCTCCCCGTATAACACCGTGTAATCCAGCTGCTGTGCTACTTAATCCTCAGTTACTACTAAAGAGCCACTCTTACTACACCAGCAACAAGCAGTGCTGCGGTGACAATGGCAAGGACGCTTGGATCCAGTAGCAAGATAAAGAAAGATCAGGATCCGGAGGTATCGTACAATAATCTATCTTGTATAGAGCAACTTGTAGTGTATTACTATTGGACTTATCTGAACACAGGAGGACAACAGGGCTGGGACAACACAAAATCCGGTTCAAGGGAACAGTGGAGGCATTATCCAGTGATATATGAGCATTGGAAAACAGGCCCTGGATTCTACAACCGAGCAAAAGTAAGAAGTAGTAGCAATCGTTTGCGCTGGTGCTGTGGTCGTTCTTCTTGTTGCTGTCGACGATGCTGTTCTTGTTGTTGCTGTGTCGACGATCATCATCATGCTGTTGCTAACCCCCCTGGTGCCACCAAATTCTCCTAGAAACTGGCTTTTCTTGCAGAGAAGCTTGCTGATATTCCCAGTTTCTACATAACAGAGCCAACGGTTGACGGTGTCCCCAAGACTCCATCATCTGCTTTATTAACTGCTGGTGCTGCTTTTTCCTCTCCACCACTGACAAGGAGGTCCTCTGCGACAAGTACTACTAAGAGCAAGCAGGTCTTCTTTTCACCAACAGAGCTCTACTCACCATCACCCACCAAGAGAAAAAGGAGACAAGAGGACATGCCTATCAGTGCACCACGCTCGTCCTCTGCTTCAAGAAAGAAGGCACCACCACCAGTAACAACACCAGCGTCCACCACAAAGATGTCGATGGAAGAGCTTACGGACGCTGCAAACAAGCTCAGTCTCCTTGAGGACTGCAGTCATGTGAGAGTCGTAGGCAGTGCCTATCCTACTATCATTGGAACTTGGGACAACCAAGACACTGGAGACAGTGATGACTCATCTGATGAAGACTATGAGGACAGCGTCTACACCATGATTAGAATCATCATGCACAACGCAATTTATGCCGACTTAATTGTTCCTGAATGGCTTGATCCTCATACTCTTCTTCTCACTATCCGGTGGCCTCGTTGGTTCAAGAAAGTTTCTAGACATGTTGCTATCCAGAGGGGACAAAAGCATCAGTTTGGTAAGGACCACAGCGTCTTCAAGACCATGAGAAGATACCTCCGGAAGCTCTACAAGAAGGATGAAAAGAAGACCATCGAAGATTCTTTTACTATTGAGTTTGATACTCCAATGGTTGTCGATGAGGAATCTGTTGATGTAGAGGTTGTTGATGTTGTTGTTAGCGAGGATGATCTAGATATTGGAGAGGATCTTCCACCCGGTGGAGTAATCAAAGTGCTTCAGATCATTGCACAAGCAGATATGCCCAACAAGAAGCAGAGGAGCAGTCGCATCCGTGTTGGTGGTAGAAAGGCTGCTCTAGGTAAGGAACCAAGTGGTAGAAGAATTGATCATGAGCAAAAGCAGCAGCAGCAGGAGGAGGAGGAGCAGCAGCGGAAGCAACAAGAACTGCAGCGTCTTGTGGATCAGATCCAAGAGGAGAACCGCCGTAATAGAGTAGCCGCTCAACAACAGCAGCAACTTGAATTTGCTGCACAACCTCGGGTTGGGGTTGGGGTTGGGGTTGGGGTTT